GCTAAATACTGTTTTAAATGGTTTCTCACTGTTATAGCAGGTATGCAGTCTCTATCACGATTTTGTACAGCTATTGGTTGCGGAAACGACTTATCACTGTTGGACACTTTTTCTAACCATTCTATTAAGAACCGTTCGTTGTTACTTTCTACAAAATTGTGCAACGTGCAGCAAGCAAGAATGATTTGTGGAGAAAACGTATGAGTACAATCCATTTTTTTGCATAAAATTCTCCATCTAGCTTTTAACCGACCGAATGCCATTTCCACCGAAACTCGTGCAGAATTCAAATACACGTTGAAAGACTCTTCTTCTGCTGACAACGAGCCTGAATAGCCTTTGATGAGCCAAGGTAACATAGGATAAGCTGGGTCACCAACAATCATACATGGTACAGCCATACCATTAATGTTTTCAGATGTCTGAAATTCATAAAATCATATTATTATATAAAAAATCTGAAATTTATAAATATCATATTTGTATTATATAAAAATACAATCAAGTACATCAAACAAAAAATTTAACATTTACCTGAGGAATAATGGTCTGCGCATTCTTGTATATGCTACTGTCCTTGAATACGGCAGCATCGTGCACACTCCCTGGATGTTTTATTACAACATTTCTAAATCTAATAACAGATAATAAATTAATCTTAGATTTTGGAGCTTAAATTAATTAATTTTATTTTAAATTAACTTTATTTTCGGAGCTCAGCTTTGCATGTTTACCTTCCATTATGGTCGACAACAGCCATTACATTATATGATGTCCAGCCTTTCCTATTTACAAAATCTCGATAACCCTCTTGTGGTGCAGTAATTGGGATATGTGTTCCGTCAATACTTCCAATTAATTGTGGAATAGAGCTTTTTCTTTCAAATTGGAGTGATATGAATTTAGCTTCGTCTTCAGAAGGCATAAATATAAAATTTTTTACCATGATGTTGTTGATGGCCTTGGTTACTCTAAATAAGCATTTTCGAACTGTTGACTTGTGAACACCCATCACATCACCAACGACTCTATATTCAGCACAACTTGCTAATTTGTATAGAGCTATTGCGACCTGTTTTTCGACAGATAAAGGCTGTCTGGATACCAAGAAAAGTGGCTTAGGTTCTAG